GTCGTACAGGTCTTTAGCCATTTTCGCCTGGTCAAAATGCTCGCATTCAGCTACCGGCAGGTAATTCCGAATGGCTAGGCGAGCAGCAGCATCACGGGTAAGCCATTGCGAGCGTGCTGTTGTGTCAGCTGTGGCTGGTGGGGCAGTGGAGACACCAGTCGCGAGGTCATAGAGTGAAAATCCGTCCCCAGCGTCGCTCAGTAGGAACAGCTACAGGTCCTGAAGCCAGGTGTCGAATTTGACTGGGCGGCCGTCAGGATCGAATGCGAGAATACGCAGAGTGGACATAGTTCAGCAGCGCAGGGGCAGGGCAGGGTAGAAGCAGCGCAAGAGCTGCAGAGGCTGCAAGCAGGCAGCAAGGGCGGCGCGCGAGTTGCAAGGGCGGCGCATAGGGCAGAGCAGTGGCAGCGCGAGGGCTGCTGGGTAGGGCGCGGGCTGGAAGGGCGGCGCGCGGGGTAGGGCAGGAGCAGTGCGACGGCTGCAGAGAGTGGGCGCGGGCTGCAAGGGGCTGCGCGCGGGTGGGGGCAGGGGCAGTGCGACGGCTGCAGGGGTAGGGCGCGGGCTGCAAGGGGCTGCACGCGGGTGGAGCAGAGGCAGCGCGACGGCTGCTGGGGAGGGCGCGGGCTGCTGGGGCTACGCGCGGGGTGGGGCAGAGGCAGCGCGACGGCTGCAGGGGCTCGTGCGGGGCTGCAAACGGCAGCGCGCGGGCGGCGCAGGCAGCGAGCAGGCTACTGGCGCAGTGCGCGGGGTTGCAATGGGCCGCGCGCATGCGGCAGGGGCAGCGCGCGGACGGGGAAGGTGGCGCGCGGGCTGCAACTGGGCGACGCGCGGGCTGCAGGGGGTTGCGCGCGGGACTGCAGGGGCGGCGCGCGAGAGTGCAGGGACGGCGCGTGTGGGCGGAACAGGGCAGGGTAGGGCGTGGGGTAGCGCGGTAACTAGTGGGCCCTAAAGAAGAATCGGTCCTAAGGACCTACTGCTCTTAATACCATGTTAGAAACTAGGCCAAGAATGAATGAATGGGATACAGAAAATGTGAAACCCTAAAGGGGTTGTACCCCTTAGTGGCTACCCCACTGTAGCCTAAACAACCTACACAGCATATATAGTTTAACATCTTGAACTCGCCTTGTGGCCCTTTTGCTAGTGCTCAGACTGTGTGATTCCGTTGTGATCCACCCTGAGCTTTGCTGTTTTGTGACTGGTCTTGTGACCGTACGGTTTTGGTTTTGCTTGACACCCTTCATTTAGGCTGTGGGAGTGTGTCAAATGTTGTAGCCTTTAGTGATGTGTGTCATATGGGGTACAGCAGTTAGGGTTAGGTTTATGTACCCCTACCAACCTTAGTCAAACAATCATTCAGTTCTTGACAAACACAACTACAAGCAGTTACAAAACATGAAAAAACATATTTCGACAGAACCGATCCCTAGCTGAATCCTGTTTTGGATTCAGGCCCTCAGATTGGTTTCAGGGCATGCTGATGGATTAGCGTGCCATGTTCAAAGTCGTGACCAAATCAGCGTTATGCTGATTTTGTCAGGGTAAAATTCCATGGCTAACTGATTGACCAGTGTACTATATTAATTTGACCACTGGGGCCACTACTACTGTCGTAGCTGTCTAAGGTCTTGCCCGATTACCAATAAGGTCCCGGGGTCAAGTCCCGAGTCTGTGAGAGTTTAACTCGTGTGTGGCGTGGATTTTGGGCCTAAAGCCCTATGTACGCGCTCCCTATTACCTGTACCCTATACATTTTGGTAATTCCGAATCAGTGTGACTCGGTACATTATACTGATGCTTCAGTGTTACTGGTACACCTAAACACTAATTCGTCAGGGTAGTCATTCTTAAAATATATATATTATAATGTATCTGCAAGTAACTTAGCTAGTGTAGTATCATTTAGGATTCTCTATTGTTGGTGGTGTACACCCCTTCCCACCTTCCCTTGAACTATATCTTGTACCTCTGCCTTAGTGAAAGCCCTCTTTTGCTTGCTCAACTCTCTCGACACTCCACCTCCTAAGCAAACCCTAGCCTCCATGGTTCTTAACTTCAACTCCTACTTCTGACAGCCCTACACTTCAAACTGAAAAATCAGTGCAAACATAAAGAAGACCCGGAGGACTCTCTACAAATGCTTAAAAATATGCTTGGTTGGACATTATGGCGGCAGCAATTTTTTAAGACCCGGTGTTACTTATTTAACAATTATCAATCTGTTATTAGGGTGTACGACCTAGTTTGGGGCGGGGGGGTCTTATATTCGTAACGATTTTGTGCAAATTTCACGTGTGTGGCACGTCAGATCTGTGTCAGAATTCGAGTCTTACACAAATGAAGTGTAAGAATTCGAGTCTGACACAAAAAGCGTGTCAGAATTCAAATTTGTGCCAGTAAAAGCTGACCCACAATAGCAATAACTGCTGTATACAGTGAAGGGGGGTCTTATGATGTTTAGGGGAAAGAGGGGGGTGTCAGAATGTTATTATTGTCTAGCCTGTAGTGGGGTGCTCTATAGCGAGTACAACCCAGTTAGGGTTTGCTATATGTACCCCAACTGCTGCTAGTGAAACCCCTCTCCTTTCAATCATTCTTGCTTAGTCCTTTTGATATGGTATCAGAGCAGGTCGACCCCCTTGGGTCGATCCTGTGGGTGGGCCCGCCACCTAACTGCTTCCGCTGCTATTCTGCTTCTCGCACGCCTCGGGCGCGCGCCGTCTTCTTCCTGCCGTGCGCTCAGGGCGTACGGCGGTTTTCTGCCCGCCGTGCGCCCCGAGGCGCGCGGCGGTTTCCTGCCCATCGTGGCGCCCCCGAGGACCTGCGCGCTGCCCCCCGTCGTCCTCCTCCCGTCGCCTCGTCGCGGCGCCCTGGGGGCCCGCGCGCCCCCCCCCCCTCCCGTCGCCTCGTCGCGGCACCTTGGGGGCCCGCGCGCCGCCCCCTCCCGTCGCCTCGTCGCGGCACCTTGGGGGCCCGCGCGCCGCCCCCTCCCGTCGCCTCGTCGCGGCGCCTAGGGGGCCCGCGCGCGGCCCCTCCCGTCGCCCGTCGAGCCGCCCTCGGGGGCCCGTGCGCGGCCCCCCTCCCGTCACCCGCCGTGGCGCCCTCGGGGGGCCCGCGCCCTGCTTCTTCGTGGCGCCCAAGAGCCACCCCGCTGCCTCCCTTCCCCTCCGTGCCCCGCCCCTGCTGTTTCCCGTGCTCCTGCCTGCGTTAGGGTTTGGGGGTGGCGGGCATGGGGGTGACCGGTGTGGGTAACCTGCGGCTCCTCCTCCTCCTCCGTCTCCCACTGCTGCAGCTGCCGCTGAGGGGGGTGGGTGTGTGGGAGCCGAGGGTTTAGGGTTTAAGGGGGGTGCCGTGGAAGTGGAGCTAGGGTGTCAGCAGGGGGTGTGTGAGAGGGGCGTGGGACGGTCGGGGGAGGTTGCGTGGAGGTAGCCGTCGTGACGCCAGCAGCGCCAGTAGTCCGGATGCCCTCGCGCGTTTCGGTAGCCCAGCGAGCCTGCTTCGCCAGTCGCCTGTGGGTCCGTTGCTCCTGTGTGTGCTCGTCGTAGCCGCGGAGCCAGATACTCCCGTAGTCCGGTGCCCTCGTGCGCTCGGTAGCCACTGTGCGCGCCGCTCCTGTTGCCCGTGTGTCTGCAGCTTCAGTCGGCGCCTTTCATCTTCTCGCCCTCACAGTTTCTCCTCCTCCTCACTTGCCCTCTATGATCACCTCTAGCTTTGCTTATAATTGTGAACTATTGCTATGCCTGCTCATTGTACTGATTACACCCCACTTTGGCTATGGGGGTGTGTCAGAATGTTATTATTGTCTAGCCTGTAGTGGGGTGCTCTATAGCGAGTACAACCCAGTTAGGGTTTGCTATATGTACCCCAACTGCTGCTAGTGAAACCCCTCTCCTTTCAATCATTCTTGCTTAGTCCTTTTGATAGGGGGTCCTCACAAAACCTGCCACAATAAGAGTCCCCCTACACATTCAAGAGTCCCGGGGGACCTTCTTATCGGCGGGCCTTTTAGCCGGAACTATACGGTAATACCCCGGATATAAGCGCACCTGCGCTTATAATAAAACAGAGTTTTTTAGGGGGTGCGCTTCTAATTGAGTCATTTTTAAAAGCGCTGTCAAACATATAATGTTGTCTATAGGCTGTAGTGGGGTAGCTTACATGGGGTACAACTGATTCTAGGGTTTGTTTATGTACCCCAACCATTTCTAGTTCACACAATTCCTGCCTCAATCTCGACATGCTATCAAAGCAGTAGGTCCGTAGGACCTAATTTTTTTAGGGCCCACCGGTTACCGCGCTACCCCACACCCTACCCTGCACTATACCGCCCACACGCGCTGCCCCTGCAGTCTCGCGCGCCGCCCCTGCAGTCCCGCGCGCCGCCCCCCCTGCAGCCCGCGCGTCCCCTATCTGCAGCCTGCGCGCTGCCCCTTCTGCCCCGCGCGCCGCCTTCGCCGCCCGCGCGCGGCCCGTTGCAGTCCTGCGCACCGCGCCACCGGCCCACGCGCCGCCCTCGCAGCCCGCGCGCAACCCCAGCAGCCCGCGCGCTGATCTCCTGCCCGTCGCGGCCCCTTAGCAGCCCCGCGCGCCGCCTCTGCAGGCCGTGCGCTGCTCCTCCTGCCCCGCGCGCCGCCCCGGCAGCCCCGCGCGCCGCCTCTCCTAGCCCGCGCGCCCTGCCCCAGCAGCCCTCGCGCTGCTTTTGCCCCACCCTCGTGCAGCGCCTTGAAGCCGGCGCCCTGCCCCAGCAGCCCACGCCCTGCCCCAGTAGCCCGCGCGCCACATCTCCTGCCCTGCGCGCACCCTCAGCAGCCCTCGCGCTGCCTCTGCCCCACCCGCGCGCAGCTCCTTGCAGCCCGCGCCCTGCCCCAGCAGCCCTCGCGCTGCCTCTGCTCTGCCCTGCGCGCAGCCATTGCAGCCTCGCGCACGGCCCTTACAGCCCGCTTGCAGCCTATGCAGCCTCGCCCTGCCTCTGCCCTACCCTGCTGTTGCGCTGCTAAACTATGGCTACTCTGCGTATTCTCGCATTCGATCCTGACGGCCGCCCAGTCAAATTCGACACCTGGCTCCAGGACCTGCAGCTGTACCTGCTGAGCGACGCTAGGGACGGTGTTTCGCTCTATGACCAAGCAACTGGTGCCTCTACTGCCCCACCTTCCTCAGCTGACGCGACGACTCGCTCGCAGTGGCTTACCCGGGATGTTGCTGCTCGCTTAGCCATTCGCAACCACCTGCCAGTAGCTGAATGCGAGCATTTTGACCAGGCAAAGACTGCTAAGGCCCTCTACGACGCTGTTATTGCACGCTACTCTTCCCCTGCCACTGCAGCGCTTAGTCGCCTCTTCCTTCCCTACCTTTTTCCCGACTTGTCGTCCTTCGCCATTGTAGATGACCTCCTCTCCCACCTTCGCGCTATGGATACTCGTTACCGTGCTGCCCTCCCTGCCGAGTTTTTCCCCAAGAACGAGCCCCCGATCTACATCACTCTCCACTTCATAGTGACCCGCCTCCCTGACGCTCTTAGTGCGGTCCGGGACACCTTCCTCGCTCTCCCCCCCACAGACCTCACTATCGACCTGCTAGGGAAGCACCTTCTTGCAGCTGAGGCTAACATAGTCGCTGTAGGTGCTACCCGTGGCACCCCTCGCTCACCCTTCTTTGAGGGGTGCTCCCCCTCCCCCCTTGCCCCCTCTGTTGCCTCTGCCGCTGCTGTCGACTTCCTTGGTGCTGAGGAGGTCGGCGCTGCTTTTTCTCCTAGTGGGAAGCACCGCAGCGGCAAAGGAAAGGGCAAGGGTGGTGGGAGTGGCGGCGGGGGGGATGGTGGTGGAGGTGGCTGGGGCGGCGGGGGTGGTGGCGGTGGGAGTGGTGGAGCGAGTGGGGGCGTCGGAGGCGGAGGTGGCGGCAGCCGCGGGGGTGGTGGTGGCAGTGGTCGTGGTGGCGGTGGGAGCGGTGGTGGCAGGAGTGGCAGCGGCGGGAGTGGTGGCAGCGGCGGTGGTGGTGATCGCTCTGGCCCAGTTCAATGGCAGCAGCACCAGCGTCCGCGTGAGACCTTCTCGCCCCAGCAGCTCCGTGAGTGGCTTGCCCAGCGTGCGGCGTCTAGGGGTAGTGGTAGTGGTCGCTGCCCGTACGTCATTCGCACAGGTCCCCGCGCTGGTCAGACGTGCGGGAAGTTTCACACCCAGCACCGCTGTTTCTCCCGCCTAGACGACGCTTGGCGTCAGGAGATGGGCAACGAGCTTGAGCTGCATCGCTGGGCAGAGCTGCTTAGGATTGGTGTTGATATCTTTGCTCTTGACTTTGATGCTATCATTGCTGGAATGTATGCTCTGTCTACTAGTGTTGAGGGTGACTGTTACTTGTGTGCGCCGTATGACCCTGGTATAGAGGCTGCTGCTCTAAGTGTTAGTGAGTCTGCTCTCTCTGGTACTGCGCCTGCTGAGGCCTCGCACACCTTCACGCTTGACTCAGGTGCCTCTCGCTGCTTCTTTCGCGACAGTACCACAGTCACACCACTCACCAGGCCTGTTGCAGTTTCCCTGGCTGACCCCTCTGGGGGCCCGGTTCTTGCACGCTCCTCTACTGTGCTCCCGTGCCCGGCCGTTCCGTCCGGTTCCCTATCAGGTCTCCACCTCCCCTCGTTCTCGACGAACTTGGTGAGCAACGCAGTCCTCCAGGATGCAGGGGTTGATACCTTTACACCTGGATGGCAGCGTGTGGCGATCTGTACGTGCTCTCCGACTGGTCGTCACCTGGCCACGTTCACTCGTCGGCCTGGGTCGAGTCTGTACACACTGACTACTGCGCCACCTCAGGTCCCTGTGTCTGCTCAGGTGTCCCCGTCAGGTCCGGTAGCAGCCCCCTGTGAGTGTCGCCGCCTGTCGCACCAGACTCTCCTTTGGCACCACCGCCTTGGTCACCCCTCCCTGCCACGTCTTCGTGGCATGCTCTCTCGCCTTCTGGTCTCTTGTCTTCCCAGGTCTCTGCCTGCGCCGCCCTGCATTCCTTGCGTCAAGGGGCGGCAGCGCGCCGCTCCTCACTCCTCCTCGTTTCCCCCGACTACAGCCCCTCTGCAGACTCTCCACATGGACGTGTGGGGCCCAGCCCGCGTCCAGGGACAGGGCCGCGCACAATACTTTCTGCTATTGTCGACGACTACTCGCGTTACACCACGGTCTTCCCCTTGCGCAGCAAGGGTGAGGTCCCTGCATTTTTTATCCCTTGGATCCGAGCTGTCCGTCTCCAGCTGCGCGAGCGGTTCCGCACGGACCTTCCTGTCCTGCGTCTGCACTCTGACAGGGGTGGTGAGTCCTCCTCCGACCTCTTGAGGTCTTTTTGTGAGAAGGAGGGCATTCACCAGTCGTTCGCGCTTCCGGACTCCCCGCAGCAAAATGGGGTTGCTGAGCGCCGCATTGGCTTAGTCATGGAGGTCGCTCGTACCTCCATGATCCATGCGGCTGCCCCCAATTTTCTGTGGCCGTTTGCGGTCCGGTACGCGGCGCATCAGCTCAACCTCTGGCCCCGTGTCTCCTTGCCGGAGACCTCGCCTACACTTCGTTGGACGGGGAAGGTTGGGGATCCATCCGAGTTTCGGGTCTGGGGTTCCTCTGCCTTTGTCCGCAATTCCGCCGCGGGCAAGCTCTCCTCTCGCGCCATTCCCTGCGTCTTCCTTGGCTTTCCCACTGACGCGCCTGGCTGGCAGTTTTACCACCCCACCTCGCGCCGGGTTTTCCCCTCTCAGGACGTAACGTTTGACGAGTCGGTGCCCTTTTACCGACTCTTCCCCCACTGCACTGCCCCTCTCCCCCCCCCGCCGCTCTTCCTCGCTCCAGGTCCCCCTCCGGTAGACCCCCTTCCCCCTCAGGGTCCTGCTCCTTCAGGTGTCTCTCAAGTAGACCCGCTTCCCCTAGCTGAGCCTGTCGAGGTCTCTGGTTACTCAGGTGCCGCTGGGGGTGGTACTACTCGTGGTGCTGAGCTATGGGGTGCTGAGCCTGGGGGTGCTGCGTCTGAGGGTGCTGAGCCTGGGGGTGCTGAGCCTGGGGGTGCTACTTCTAGGGGTGCTGAGCCTGGGGGTGATGCTTTTGGTGGTGCTGAGCCTGGGGGTGCTGAGCCTGGGGGTGCTGAACCAAGGGGTGCTGAGCCTGGTGGAGCTGGGTCTACTGGTGGTCTTTCGGGTGCCTCACTTCAGCGGTCTCCCCAGCGGGAGCCCCTCTCACCACAGCAGCTGCGCGAGTGGCTAGCTCAGCGCACTCGCCTCCGACGCACCGCTGCTGGAGCTGGAGGCACTGACACTGGAGGCGCTGGAGCTAGAGGCGCTGGAGCTGGAGGCACTGACGCTGGAGCCGCTGGAGCTGGAGGCGCTGGAGCTGGAGGCGCTGGCACTGGAGGCGCTGGAGCTGGAGGCGCTGGAGCTGGAGGCACTGACGCTGGAGGCGCTGACACTGGAGGCGCTAAAGCCGGAGGCGCTGGAGCTGGAGGCACTGACACAGGAGGCGCTGGAGCTGGAGGCACTGGAGCTGGAGGCGCTGGCACTGGAGGCGCTGGAGCTGGAGGCACTGGAGCTGGAGGCACTGGAGCCGGAGGCACTGGAGCTGGAGTTTCTGTGCAGCAGCGACCGTTTTTCTTGCCGCCGCCGCAACTGTCCGACCTTCAGCCCGAGTCGGTGCTACGTCAGGTTCTTAGTCGTCCTTCGTCCACTGTCCTTCGTCCAGACGCGCCGCTGCCTGCTCCCCTTCCTTACATAGAGCAGCCAGAGTCCTTGACAGAGCGTCATGAGCCTGCGTCTCGTCCTTCCTCCCCTGTTCGTACCGTTCGCTGTTCTCATCGTGTCCTGCGTCCGCATCCTCCTCCTGTGCCACGCACTCGCACTATGGCACTTCGTCCTTCCTCTGTTCCGCAGCGTGTCCCTCTGCCGTCTCCTCTTGCGTCCTCTCTTCCTGTAGTTCCGGACCCTGAGTCTGACGCTGTTCGTGCTGCTCACCCTACTGTCACGCGTCTCCTGGCTACAGTCGTCACTGACCCGTCGTTTGAGTCTGCTGCTGCGTCTGCCTTAGTTGCTGAGCTCGTGGACTTTGCTGCTGCGTCTCGTCTAGACTACGCTGCCAGTCTTGTCGCTGAGTCTGAGTCTGTCTGTCCTCCGTCCGTCGGGGGTGTGTGTGCTCTTGGCACGGACGTCCTTGAGGACAGGCAGGAGGACTTTGAGTGTCTTGCGGCTGCTGTACCTCATCTCACGGCCTGGCTGCTTGCACCTGAGGGAGACCCAGATGCACTGGACATCCCGACCCCGCACTCTTACCGAGAGGCGATTACGGGTCCCTACTCCTCTCAGTGGCAGACAGCCATGGACGCCGAGATGGCATCCTGGAAGTCCACAGGCACCTACGTCGACGAGGTCCCCCCTCCTGGGGCGAACATAGTCGATGGCATGTGGATTTTCAGGGTGAAGCGGCCGCCGGGTTCTCCGTCTGTCTTCAAGGCTCGTTATGTTGCTCGAGGCTTCAGTCAGCGACAGGGAGTTGACTTCTTTCAGACCTTCTCCCCTACCTCGAAGATGACCACTCTTCGGGTGCTGCCGCACGTTGCCGCTCAGCGTAGCTGACTTCAGCACAGCGTTCTTGCAGGGCAGCCTGCACGAGGAGATCTGGCTGCGCCGCCCACCTGGCTTCACTGGGTCGTTCCCTTCTGGTACCCAGTGGAGCCTCCGGCGGCCAGTCTACGGTCTCCGCCAGGCGCCTCGTGAGTGGCACGAGACACTGAGGACTACGCTTTTGACTCTCGGGTTTGCTCCGTCCTTTGCTTACTCGCCCCTGTTTCTGCGCACCGACACTTCGCTGCTGCCGTTCTACATCCTCGTGTACGTCGACGACTTTGTCTTTGCCACTGCTGACACTGAGGCACTGGCCCTTGTGAAGTCGGAGCTGCAGAAGAGACACACGCGCAGCTACCTTGGCTTGCAAATCACCCGGGACAGAGCACGCCGCACCATTACCCTGACTCAGTCACACATGGTGCAGCAGGTCCTTCAGCGCTTCGGCTTCCAGTTCTCCTCACCACAGTCCACTCCTCTGCCTACCAGTCACTCGCTCCCAGCTCTGCCTTCGGATGAGTCCGTAGAGCCGAGTGGCCCGTATCCAGAGCTTGTGGGCTGCCTCATGTACCTGATGACCTGCACACGACTTGACCTTGCGTACCCTCTTAGCATCATGGCTCGCTAGGTTGCATCTGGGAGACACCGGCGAGAGCACTGGGAGGCTGCTAAGAGGGTGTTACGCTACTTGTGCAGTACATCAGGCATGGGGCTGGTACTTGGAGGACGGGGTTCAGTTGTCCTCACTTGACACTCAGACGCCTCTTGGGTCGACGTCCTGGTTATGCAGCGGTCGTCATAGGGTTACACCTTCAGCCTTGGCTCCGGCTCTGTTTCTTGGCGTTCTACTCGTTCGTCTTCTGTTCTCAGCTCCAGTTGTGAGGCTGAGATCTACGCAGGAGCCATGGCTGCACAGGAGTTACGCTGGCTCACCTACCTGCTGACCGACTTGGGAGAGCGGCCTCGTTCTCCTCCAGTTCTGTACGTAGACAACAAGGCTGCTATTGCCTTGTGTCAGGAGCACAGACTGGAGCACAGAACGAAGCACATCGCTTTACGCTACTTCCTTGCTCAAGAGCTGCAGCAGCGTGGTCAGGTTCGCATGGCTTACGTGGACACGCGGGCCAACACTGCTGATATATTCACCAAGGCACTTCTGCCTAGTGATCATCAGCGTCACTGCACTACTTTAGGGCTCGTGTCCACTTTCTCTCACTTGCTCACTGCTTGACTCTGCCTGTACTGTGATCTTTATATATACATGCATGCTTACACTTGCTAAGTAGCACTGTACTGCTTGCTTTGTTTTATATAACTCTGCATGTGAACTGGCCTTGTGGCCATTTGCTTGTGCTCGGAATGTGTGGTGACTTCGTGATCCACCCCGAGCTGGCGTCGATGTGCTTCACCCTGCTCTCCAGTCGAGGCTCACGACACAGGAGAATCATCGCCTTGTTGTCAGCAAACAAGGTCGGTGCAGAGCTCGGCCGCTCACCAAGGTCAGTGAGCAAGAAGGTCAACCAGCGTAGCTCCTGTGCAGCAAGGGCTCCAGCGTAGATCTCGGCCTCTGCGGTAGAAGTCGCAACAGAGGAGGACCGAGTAGACCTCCACGAAACAGCTCCAGAGCCCAGACTGAAACAGTAACCCTGCGTAGACCTCTGAGTCTCAACGTCGTCGGCGTAGGAGGAGTCGCAGTGACTGGTGAGTACAACTGGCTGTGTCCCTCCAAGTACAAGCCCCATGTCTGATGTCGTGGCAAGGTACTTCGCCACCCTCTTAGCCGCCGTCCAGTGAACAGGACGGTGTCTCCTAGTCGCAACAAAGCGAGAAAGGATGCTAAGAGGGAAGGCGAGGTCCGGGCGAGTGCACGTCATCAGGTACATGAGGCAGCCCACCAGCTCTGCGTAGGGACCACTGGGCTCGAACGGCTCGTCAAGAAAAGGCCCAGTGAGTCTGTGGTCTACAGCAAGAGGGGTGGGTGTAGGAGAGGAGTGCTGAAGCCCGAACCGCTGAAGGACCTGCTGCACCATGTGTGACTGAGTCAGAGTGATGGTGCGAGCGGCTCTGTCCCTGGAGATCTGCAGGCCAAGGTAGCGGCGCAGTTCCCCAAGGTCAGTGCAGGTGTGTCTCTTCTGCAGTTCGGACTTCACCTCCGCCAGTGCAACTGTGTCGGCTGTGGCAAAAACCAAGTCGTCAACGTAGACCAGAACGAAGAAAGGTGTGCGCCCACGACGAACAAACAGCGACGGGTCGGCGGAAGACGGCTCAAACCCGAGGTCGGACAGAGTAGAGCGGAGAGTGTCGTGCCACTCACGGGGTGCCTGACGGAGACCGTAGACCGGTCGTCTGAGGCTCCACTGGGTCCCAGGCGGGAAGGTGCCAGTGAAGCCCGGAGGACGACGCAGCCAGATCTCCTCGTGTAGGCTGCCCTGCAGGAAGGCGGTGGAGAAGTCGAGGGAGTGTAGCTCGTAGTCCCTCTGTGCCGCTACGTGAAGTAACACCCGAAGAGTGGTCATCTTCGGGGTGGGCGCGAAGGTCTGAAAGAAGTCAACTCCCTCGCACTGACTGAAACCTCTAGCCACGTAGCGTGCCTTGAAGACTGGGGGAGATCCCGACGGCCGCTTCACCTTGAAGATCCACATGCCGTCAACTATGTTCGCCCCTGGGGGGGGAACCTCGTCAACGTAAGTGCCTGTGGACCTGTAGGAGGCCATCTCTGCGTCCATGGCAGCTCTCCACTGAGAGGCCCAAGGCCCTGACACTGCCTCAGCGTAAGTGCGAGGAGTAGGTATGTCAGGAGCGTCGGGGTCTCCCTCAGGAGCGAGCAGCATGGCACAGAGATGAGGCGAAGCAGCTGCCAAGAACTCTAGCTCAAACTGTCTGTCCTCTAGGACGTCACATGTTAGAATTATATATTGTAGCATGCTAAGCACATGTGACTGTACACCAATTGTGGTGTACAGTTGGGTTGGGACTACACCCAACATTGGGTGTAGTCTTGCACTTTGGGGTGCCAATCCACCCAATTGTGGTGGAGCCCCCAAATTGCAACCCTCTTGACTTTTTGGGTACCTCACTTCACAATTGAGGCCACCACAAGCCAAGTGGGCCTAGGGTTGCCTCACTTCTTCAAAGTGTGGGCAACCCAACCCACCTCACCTATGGTTACCTCACTTCCACAAGTGAGGTCAACCCAACCATAGGTTGAGTCCATCCTTCTCCTCCAACACTTCCTTCCAACTATGTATGCTAGGTTTCTCCTCTAATCCAATTACTTGTTCAATTTACATTCTTAACATGGTATAGAGCTAGTTGTTCCTAAGCCTTAACTCTACCTCCCTCAAGTTCTTTTTTTTGGGCCCACCCCACAGCCACAATTTCCCTCCTACGTATGGCTCAACCTAGCATACTCTAGCCGCGACCTACATCGTCGCCGCCGCTCCCTCCCCCCGCCGTGATTGCGCCTTCCTTGCCGGCGCACCTCGCCGACTCCTCCCCTCGCCGCCACGGCCATTCCGCCGCCGCCGCCTCCTCCCCTCGCCGCCGCGGCCATTCCGCCGCCGCCGCCTCCTCCCCTCGCCGCCGCGGCCATCCCGCCGCCGCCGCCTCCTCCCCTCGCCGCCACGGCCATTTCCGCCGCCGCCGCCGCCTCCCCCCGTCGCCGCCTCCCCCCTTCCGCCGCCGCGCCCGTTCAGACGCCGCCTGCGCATCCCGCCGCCGCGACGCATCGTCGCCGCCTGCTCCCTCCCTCCCGTGACGTCCCGTCGCCGCCTCCCCCTCCCGCCGCCCGCCTCGGCGCCGCCCCCCCCTCCCGCCGCCGCGACACTTCGTCGTCGCCTGCACTCCCCGCCGCCGCGACGTGCTCGTCGCCGCGTGCACGTCCCACTGCCGCGACTTCGTGTCGTCGCCCGCGCACCCCGCCACCGCAACTTCGCGTCATCGCCCACACATCCCGCCGCCGCGATCTGCTCATCGCCGCCCCCGCCACGATTTCGCACCGTCCCTTCCCCCCTCCCGCCGCCGCGACCTCACGTCGCCGCCTGCACTTCCCGCCGCCGCGACTTCGCGTCGTCGCCTGCACTCCCCGCCGCCGCGACCTACTCGTCGCCGCTTGCGCATCCCGCCGCCGCGACCTGCTCGTCACCAGCCGCGACGTCACGTCGCCGCCCCCCCTTTCCGCCGCCGCCGCCTCCTCCCCTCGCCGCCTACGTTTCCCGCCGCCGCGATGACACTCGTTGCCGCCGGCGTTTCCCGCCGCCGCGACTAAGCTCGTCGCCGCCTGCGTGTTCCGCGGCAGCGACTGCGACCCCGTCGCCCAGCAACCGCGACCCCGTCGCCCCCGCCCACGCTTCCTGCCGCCGTGGCGGCCCCGTCGCCGCCTGCGAATTCCACCGCCATTGCACCCTCCTCCTCCCCACCGCTCACTCCCTGCTATTACAACTGCAACCGCAACTGCACCCTCCCTTCCCCCTCTTCCTCTCCCTCTTCCCTCCCCCCCCCCCTCTCCCCGTCCTCCCCTTCCCCTCGCACCCCTCGTCGCCGCGGCCTACCTACCGCCGCCGCCCCTCGCATCGTCGCCGCGGCCCTTCCGCCGTCGCCTGCGCCCTCCGTCGCCGTGACCTGCACGTCGCCGACGCCCCCCATTTCGTCGCCGCGGCCATCTCGCAGCCGCCTGCGCCTTTCGTCGTCGCGGCCTGCTGGCCGCCGCCGCCCCCGATCTCGTCACCGCCTTCCCTTCCCGCCGCCGCATGTTTGCGCCGAAACCTGCACCCTGCCGCTCCCTGCAACTCGAATGCCCCTACCCTCCACCCCTGTCTCCCTCCTCCTTTACCACTCCCCCCCCCTACTCCCCCCCTGCCTAGCAGCAGCAGCAGCAGCAGCAGCAGCAGCAGCAGCAGCAGCAACAACAGCAGCAGCAGCAGCAGCAACAGCAACAACAGCAGCAGCAGCAGCAGCAGCAGCGGTAGCTGGGACATCAGCAGCAGCATCAGTTGCACCAGCAGCAGCAGCTGGGGCACCAGCACCTGCAGCAGCACCTTCACCCTTGGCCGCCGCGGGTCCACCCGCCGTCGCCTCTCATGACTACTTACCTCCGCCCGCTCACCCCCTCCCCCCCTCCCCACCCTCAGCTTTTCCAGCTGCTCCATCAGCAGCAGCGGTACTTCCAGCACCGGCAACAGCCACAATTTCTCCAGCCGCATCCCTCACAGTTCCTCCAGCCGCGGCAACACCAGCAGCGGCAGCTCTCCCAACAGCAACAGCAACTGCAATCTCTTCAGCCTCACCCGCCACAGTTTTTCCAGCCGCAGCAGCCGCAGTCCTTCCAGCATCAGCAACAGCCACGGATTCTCCAGCCGCTACAGCAACAGTGCTTCCCGCAACAGCAGCAGCCGCAGTGCTTCCAGCAGCAGCAGCAGCCACAATTTCTCCAGCCGCATCCGACACAGTCTCTTCCACCACATCAGCCGCAGCAGCGGCAATACTTCCAGCAGCAGCACCCGCCGCTGTATCCCTCTTCTATCCATGAAACATTTCTCCAGTACTCTGTGCCACCTCCCCCTCCTTCCTCCTCCACCCTGGACTTCGTCCTTGATAGTGGGGCCACTGAAACCGCACTAAAGGACGCTGGCACTCTCACCCCCCTCCACTTCCCACTCAGGTTCATGGAGCTGATTCCAGCTTTTCCATCCCATGCACTCATCTCTCCACCCTCCCCTGCACTGCGTTCCCCTCCGGTAAAGTCACAGGCCTCCACATTCCCACTCTCCGCAACAACCTCATCTCCCACCGTGAGCTCCAAGGTGTTGGCATTACCGCCATTTATCCCGGTTATGCTAACTACTGTGATCTCTATCAAACCTCTTCTGGCCGCTTCCTTCTCCGCATTCCACTTTGCCCCCGCACTCGCCTCTACACACTCCTCACACCTCGCCCATCCTTCTGCCACGTCACCACCCGTGCCGGTACTACTACCGGTCCACCTCCTCCTCCTTTACTTCCCCCTTCCCCTCCCCCTCACGCATCCTCCTCTCCCTCCCCACCATCCTCCTCCTCCCCTCCCGTCCCTTCCATCACCCCATCTCCCTCCTCCTCCACTACCCTCTCGCACCCTGCCGTTCTCTTACACCACAGACTCGGCCATCCCAACTTCACCGCACTTCGCACCACAGTCACTTCTCGCCTCCTCCGCAGCCTTCCTCCCGCGTTACCCCCCCTCTCCTCCTCCCCCTCTCCCCCATGCCCTTCATGCATTCACGGCAAGCTCAAACAGTCACCCCACCACAGTCATCCCACCTTCGCCGCCGCCCCCATCGACCTTGTCCACATGGACCTCTGGGGCCCCTATCCCATCCGCTCCCGCCAGGGGCACCGGTACATGCTCGTCCTCGTTGACGACCACAACCGGTACTCCACCACCTTTTTTCTTCACACGAAAGACCAGGTGCCGGCAGTGGTCATCAACTGGGCCGAGCTGTGCCGCAATCACTTCAAACGCCCCATTGGCCGCCTTCACTCTGACGGTGGGGGTGAGTTCATCAATAACACTCTCGCCACATACTGCAAAACCTACGGCATCCAACAGACCTCCACTCTTCCCCACTCCCCCCAGCAAAACGGCGTTGCTGAGAGCCGCATTCGTGAGATCACCAAGATAGCTCGCTGTCTCATTGCTCATGCCTCCACCCCTCCTTCCCTCTGGAGCTATGCCCTCCTCCACGCCGCCCTTCTCCTTAATCTCCGCTCCCATCCTCAGCACCCTTCCTCCTCCCCCACAGAGCTTTGGTCCAACACCAAACCTGACGCTGCCGGCCTTCGCGTTTGGGGATGCAAGGCCTTCGTTCTCATTCCACCCGCCGACCGCTCCCGCGCCGCTGGCAAGCTTGCTCCTCGCGCCCTGGAATGCGTTTACCTTGGGCACAACCGCGACTCCCCAGGCTACCTCTTCCTCCACCCTCCCACCAATCGCCTCATCCGCAGAAGCGACATCGTCTTCGACGAATCCGTTCCCTACTACTCCACTCCTCCCCCTGATCCTCTCCCTCCTCCCACTCGCCCCCTCGCCTGGACCGATACTGTCCTCCCGCCTCTCCTCCCCCCCGCTCCCCTCCTCCCACCTGTCGCCGCTCCACTCCCTCCTCCCTCCTCTGCCGACGTCTACGACCCCGCTGCACCCGCCTCCCCCGCCCACTCAGCTGCACCCCCTCCATCCCCTCCCTCCTCCCATGCCTCTCCCGCCTTTCCGCAGCAGCAGCGGCAGCAGCAACAGCAGCAGCAGCAGCAGCAGTAGCAGCAGCAGCAGCAGCAGCAGCAGCAGCAGCAGCAGCAGCAGCAGCAGCAGCAGCAGCAGCAGCAGCAGCAGCAGCAGCAGCAGCAGCAGCAGCAGCAGCAGCAGCAGCAGCAGCAGCAGCAGCAGCAGCAGCAGCAGCAGTAGCAGCAGCCGGGGCAGCAGCAGCAGCAGCCGGGGCAGCAGCAGCAGCAGCCGGGGCAGCAGCAGCAGCAGCCGGGGCAGCAGCAGCAGCAGCCACAGCAGCAGCAGCAGCCGCAGCAGCAGCAGCAGCAGGTGCAGCAGCAGCAGCAGCGGCAGCAGCAGCCGCAGCAGCAGCAGCAGCAGCAGCAGCAGCAGCAGCACCAGCAGCAGCAGCAGCGGCCTCAGCAGCAACGCGCCACATCTCGCTCCTCCCCTTTCCTTCTTCCCCACATGCACACCCGTTCCCTGGATCCCATCCTTGGGACCCCTCCTCCTCCTTCCCTGCAACTCCTTGAGGACTCTCACGAGGAGTTCCTCACCATCCAGCAGCACACTCCGTTCATAGCCACCCTCTTTCTTGACTTCCTTGGCTTCCCCGTCCTCGGCGCCACCTCCACCCCCACCATCTTCACTCCCTCCACCTTCCAAGAGGCCATCACCTGCCCTGACGCAGACAAGTGGATAGCGGCAATCTTCTAGGAGTGCGAGGCGTTCATCCGCAACGACTCCTTCGTTGACGTCCCACTCCCCGCCGATGCCAATCTTGTCGAGGGCAAATGGGTGTTTCGGGTGAAGCAGCTGCCGGGCGAGGAACCTGTCTACAAGGCCCGTTACTACGCCAAGGGCTTCACACAGACACATGGGGAGGATTTCTGGGCCACTTACGCCCCCACCGCTAAACCCCCCACCCTTCGCGCAGCCCTGGACATTGGTGCACGTGACAACATGGAGATTGATTCCATGGACGTCTCCAATGCGTTCCTGCAGGGCGACCTGCACGAGCGCAACTTCCTCCGGCGACCACCCGGGTTCCACGCAGCCTTCCCTGAGAACACTGTCTGGCAGCTGCGTCGCCCGGTCTACGGCTTGAAGCAGGCACCGCGCGAGTGGCATGCGAAGTTGGCTGCCACCTTAGGGTCTCTCGGCTTCTCTGCTTCCCACTCCGACGCCAGCCTCTTCATCCGCTCCTCCCCCCGCCGCTTCTTCATTCTGGTGTATGTGGACGACATCCTGCTCTCTGACACGAAGGCCGACATGGAGCAGATGAAGCAGTCCCTGCAGCAGCGTCTCAAGTGCAAAGACCTTGGCGCCCTCACCAACTACCTGGGCATGGCCATCACCCGTGACCGCTCTGCTCGCACCATCACCCTCTCCCAGTCCCACTACATCGGCCAGGTCTTGGAGAAGTTCGACATGACGCAGGCCAAGCCCGTCTCCATCCCCCTCCCTTTCGGCCACCACCTCGCTCCACCCACCTCTCCCACCTCCTCCCCTCACCCCTATGCCGAGCTCGTTGGGTCCCTGATGTACGCGATGATGTGCACCCGCCCCGACCTCGCCTATCCCATCAGCGTGCTCGCTCGCTTCGTCGGCACCGGCCGCCACAGTGAGGAGCACTGGAAAGCTGCCAAGCGGGTCCTCCGCTACCTTCGAGGGACCAAGGACCTTGCCCTCACCCTTGGCGGCCCTTCCCCTCCTCTTCTCTCAGGCTTCAGTGACTCCTCTTGGGCTGACACGCAGCCGGACCGCCGCTCCTCCCAGGGCTACGGCTTCACCCTTGGCAGCGGCCTCATCAGCTGGCGCTCCACCCGCTCCTCCGCCATCTCTCTCTCCACCTGCGAGGCCGAGCTCTACGCCGGCACCATGGCCGCTCAGGAGTCCCGCTGGCTCTGCTTCCTCCTTGCCGAGCTTGGCGCTCCCCAGACGTGCCCCACTCTCTGGTGCGACAATGCCAGCACCATCCATCTCACTGAGGACCCTGTCTATCATGCCCGCTCCAAGCACATCGAGCTCCGCTATTTCTTCATTCGCGAGCTTGTCCAGAAGGGTCTCATTGCCGTTCGCAAAATTGCGACCGAGGCCAACTTGGCCGACATTTTCACCAAGGCCCTCCTTCGCCCTGCGCACTCCGCTTTCCTCCGCCTCATCGGCCTCGCTCGCCCGGGCGCTCCTTGATTCAGGGGTTGTTCTCTTCTTGTGTTAGCATGCTAAGGGGTTGTGTTAGAATTATATATTGTAGCATGCTAAGCACATGTGACTGTACACCAATTGTGGTGTACAGTTGGGTTGGGACTACACCCAACATTGGGTGTAGTCTTGCACTTTGGGGTGCCAATCCACCCAATTGTGGTGGAGCCCCCAAATTGCAACCCTCTTGACTTTTTGGGTACCTCACTTCACAATTGAGGCCACCACAAGCCAAGTGGGCCTAGGGTTGCCTCACTTCTTCAAAGTGTGGGCAACCCTACCCACCTCACCTATGGTTACCTCACTTCCACAAGTGAGGTCAACCCAACCATAGGTTGAGTCCATCCTTCTCCTCCAACACTTCCTTCCAACTATGTATGCTAGGTTTCTCCTCTAATCCAATTACTTGTTCAATTTACATTCTTAACATCACAGCCAAGGGCAGACTCACCCCCGGCGGACAGAGGACGGACAGGAGGAGCGGCCACAACACGAATGGCGTCGTAGTCAAGGCGACGCGTAGCAGTAAAGTCAGTGACAGCGGCAGTGAGGACCGCGACGGAGGAAGGAGAGGCACGAGGGTCGGTAATAAGAGAGACGAGAATACGAGAGAGAGTGGGGCGGTACGTGCGGTAGTAGTCAGTGACCGGAGTGGACAGGGAGGCAGTGAGAGACGACTCAGGAGGGCGAGGAAGGACAGACGGAGGAGAACGAGGAGGACTAGGACGGAACAACACAGTACGGAGGTCAGTGACAGGTGACAAAGGACAAGCACGAGGAGGACGAGAGGCCCAAGTGTGGGCGAGAGGAGAGGGAGACGGAGGAGACTGAGAACGAGGGAACACAGCCGGAGCGGAGTCCGGAGGACACGGAGTCCGGAGGAGGAAACGTAGGACCAAACACAGGAGGAGAGGAGGGGAGACCAAGGGCCCGAAGGCCAGAAACAGGGGCCGGAGGCTGCTCCGGCTGCTGCTGCTGCTGCTGCTGCTGGTGCTGCTGGTGCTGCTGCTGCTCCCGCTGCAACTCCAACCGCTCACGCTCCACCCGCTGCTGAACCTCCAACCTCTCACGCTCCAAACGCTGCTGCTCCTCACGCTCAACACGAAGAAGGGCCTGGTAACGAGTAGGGTAGGGGTGAGGAGGAGGAGTGGTGTCAGGAGACGAAGAAGAAGAACCAGCTCCGCCCTCGACAGTACCCGGCTGAGCACCCCCAGAGCGAGTACCCCCTGCGACAGCACGACCAGCACCTGTAGGAGGTGTACCCGCACCCCCAGTCGTGGTGCCTCCAGTGGCACCAGCACCAGCCCCAGACTCTCCAGCTCCAGAAACACCACCAGCTCCAGCACCACCACCAGCTCCAGTACCCTCGGAACGGGCAGCTGCGGCAGGTGCACGCTCAGCGCCAACGCCAACACCCCCAGAACGGGCGGCTCCTGTAGGTGCACGAACAGCTCCAACGCCAGCACCCCCAGAGCGAGCACCGCCAGAGCCCTCACCTCGAGCACCAACACCCTCAGAGTCCGCAGTGGCCGGTAAAGGAAGCGCTGACGGCTGCTGCGGAGGCTGTGAGGACGACTGTGGGGAAGGAGGAGAGACCTGGGGGGGTATCGAGGGGGGGGAGTAGCGTGGGACACACCAGACGGAGCGGGAACAGGGGGGGGTACCGGAGGAGCAGGGGCGGGAGGAGGAGGAGCTGGAGCCAGGAAGAGGGGAGGGGGGGGAACCGGGAGACCTCGACAGGGGTACCGGACGTAGTAGGGGACAGACTCGTCGAAACGGACGTCACGAGAGTCAAAGAACCGGTGGGAGGGAGGGTGGTAAAAGGTGAAGTCAGAGGAGTCCTCTGGGAAACCAAGGAAGACACAGGGGACGGCGCGAGGTCTTCTTCGCCAAAGGGAACACGGTGGTGTACCGAGAGTAGTCGTCAACGACCACCAGAAAGAAACTCTCCCGCTCAGGGCCAAGGCGGGGAGCGGGGCCCCAGACGTCTAAGTGGAGTGTCTCAAAGGGCTCGGTGGCCGGACGAAGGGAGGAGGAGTGAGGGGTGGCGCGCAGCCGACCCTGGACACAAGGACCGCAAGGAGGAGCTGGGGACGGCGGGAGCGGCGGAAGGACTCGGGGGAGGCCTAAGACAAGACGCTGACTGGACATATTGCGAAGACGAGGGAGGGACGGGTGACCAAGGCGGTGGTGCCAGAGGAGGGAGGGGTGGGCAAGCGACCGACACGAGCACGACGCAGCAACGAGATCGGACATAGCAACCTGACTGGACCTGGCTACCTGGTGGGACGGAGGAACCTGACGGGGGTCGGTGTGGAGGGTGTACAGACCGGAGCCCGGCTCCTGGCGAAAAGTGGCCAAGGGGGCGTACGAGTCACCATCCACACAGACTGCAGTGTCACCAGAAGGCTCAACCCAGACTCCGACGTGCTGTCTCGCCAGGGGGCCCACACCAACCAGGTTCCTAGAGAACGTAGGAACGTGGAGGCCAGTCAGGGAACCGGAAGGAGCAGCCGGGCACGGGAGCGTAGTGGCGTGAGTCGCAATGACCGGTCCCGAAGAGGGATCGGCCAGTGCTATGGAGACTGGCGCCGGTAGTGGAGAGAGAGTCGTGCGGTCGCGAAAGAAGCACTGCGTCGCTCCTGAGTCCAGTGTGAAGGAGAGAGACGCGTCCGCCGAGGGAGCACCTGTACTAGTAGCTAAACAAGATCCTACACTAGCACCTACTCTAGCAACAGGCAAAGATCCTACGCTAGGCACAGGCAAGTACACAGATCCAGGAGCACTATAGTCAACATCAGCATACATGGCATAAGACCTAGCATCATCCATAGTCATATCAAAAACAGAGATACCACGAGCAAGAAGTGTCCCCCAACGCGGCGGCGGGGGAGCGGAGGGGCCGTGGTGCAAGCGGTAGAGGTCGTCGAGACGACTGAAGCAGCGTGCAGCAGAGTGGTCAGGGCGGCCACAGTACGAGTCCCTACGTGGACCCGTAAGGATCCAGTACTCACAGGGACCAACGTCGCGACCGGCCGAGCGAGGTCCCCGACTGGAGGGGGCAGCACTGCGCCCAGTGCTCGGGGGACCCGCAGACCTCCACTGCTGCGGAGAGCCCCACGGCTGCGGAGGGCCCCACTGCTGCGGCTGCGGCTGTGGCGGGCGCTGCGGCTGGCCCTGTCGCTGCTGCTGCTGTCCCTGCCGCTGCTGCTGTCCAGGCGGTGGCAGCTGCTGAGAAGCCGGCTGCTGCTGCTGCTGGAACCCCTCACCACCAGTGAAAACTCCACCGTCGAGAGGAGGGCCGTCAGGTCCCGAGCCACCCCCACCACCACTCCCACCACCTGCTCCACCGCCACCGCCACTACCCGCACCACCTCCAGTACCTCCGCCGCCCTTCCCGCCCTTCTTACCGGCCTTGCCACGTTTCTGTCCGCCAGAGACAGAAACAGCCGCCGTCTCCTCAGAGGCAGAAGACGCGGGGGTGGCAAGGGAGGCAGTGAAGGTGGGAAGCTGTGGTACCGCACACCCCTCAAAAAGACGAGGAGGAGGCGCGGAAGAGGCAGAGGCAACAGCGAGGAGGTTACTCTCGATCTTCGAGAGAGCAGTCTCAAGAAGATCGATAGTAAGCTCAGTGGGGTGCTTCAGAAGAAGCGCGTCGCGGGCTGTGGCTAGGCGGTCAGGGAGGCGAGTGACTAGCCAGTGAATAGTGAGCCACATAGGGGGCGGGGCAAGGGCAAGCTGGTCCTCAGTGCAAGCAGCGCGAAAGCGAGCGTCAAGGGAGCGAAGGTGGGTAACGAGGTCAGAGACAGTCTCAAAGGAGGCGAGGTCAGGGTAGATAAAGGGGACGAGGAGGCGACTGAGTGAAGCAGAGGAGGGAGTGGAGTAGCGATCAACAATAGCCTTATACAGATCTGCAGCAGACTCGACCTGAGTGAAGTGGACTGCCTCTGTCGGCGGGAGAAGGTCGGTCAGGGCGAGGCAGGCAGCGGCGTCACGAGACTCCCACACGTCGCGAGCGAGGAACTGGCGCCGGTACTCGGCCTCCTGCTCAGGAGTAGGCGGTGGGGTAGTGGGCAGCAGGCTAGGCTGCGGAGGAGCGGTCTGAGTACCGGACGCGTGTGCGAACAGGTGCACGCCATCCTGCCGCTGGCTCTTAAGGTGGCGCTGCGCCTGCGTAAGCCACGTAAGTCTATGGGTCTCCCTTTAGGGTCAAAACGAAGTACTCGGGAGGTCGCCATAAGGGGCGAAAGTGGGAGAGCGCGGCTGCCAGCCGCGGGAGGGTGAGACAGTCAGTGGCGTGTGGGCAGGCGCGCAGGCGTGCAGGCGGGCAGGTGGCGCGGCATGCGGACAGGCGGGCGGCACGGCGCGCTGGCCGGCGAGCGGCGCGGCGGGTCTACGGGCGGGCGGCGCTGCGCGCTGGCGGGCGCGGTGGCGTTTGCGCTAGCGGGCGCGCTGGCGTGCGCGTTTGCAGGGCGCGCTGGCGTGCGCGCTGGCGGGGCGCGCTGGCGGGGCGCGCTGGCGTGCGCGCTGGCGTGCGCGCTGGCGTGACGCGCTGGCGTGACGCGCTGGCGTGTGCGCTGGCGAGGCGCGCTGGCGTGCGGGCTGGCTGGGCGCGCTGGCGTGGGGCGCTGGCGGGGCGCGCTGGCGGGCGTATAGGGCAAACGGGGGGTGGGGGGGGGGGGGGCACCAAGGCTAGAGACGAAGTTTTAGGAAGGGCGGCGACTAGGTGTGGCCTAGGAACGGCGAACCTACTGCCGATACCATCATACAAAGTGAAAACAGCGGAATGAGTTAGATTGATTGTGTTGGGGTACAAGGGCCTAACCCTAACTGTTTGTACCCCATATAGCATGACCCACTAGAGGCTATAACATTTGACAGATATAAGCGCATGCGCTTTTAATAGGACTGCGCTTATATCCGGGGCAATACGGAATATACTGAAATTTCAGGGAAAACGAAAATCACAGCTACAAAATCAGCCTAAT